CTTAATAAATCAGAAGAACAAAAGTATTAAAAAATGAAAGAGTTGAGAAAACAAGAAGTAGGATTAGGGAACAAAGTGTCAGAACTTGATAGAAGAATAAAGTGGTGGCCAGGAAAAATGCCAAAATATCTAAAAAGGGAAATTCTATTTTAACCCGGGTCAAAATAACACAGAAAATTTTAGGGTTAGTGCGGGCCAGAATTATGTTGATGCCGGCCAGGTTTTTTTAATATAAAAACCCGGCCGGCATTAACATAATTGTGGCCCGCACTAACCCTAAATTCTAGGAGGGGTTATTTAAATAGAATTTCCATCTAAAAAAATTATTCTGAAAAAATGAAACCAAGGAATCTAAATACAGAATAAATATGTTATATTTAAGCTTAGTTTCATTTGGTACTTTCATGAATTTGAATATGCCTTTAATAACCAATTAAAAAATGTTAAATTTATGGTCAATACATAAATTACGGCTGTTTTCAAAGAGACGACATTTAGCTTTTACATATGCCATGTTGTAATTAATTTTACCACACACCGTAAAATTTTACCATCACTTATAGTTTACTATTAATTTTTAATTTTTTATTTTTTTTTTAGGAAAAAATTTGAAAAGACTTTTCGACATATTCTATGCAACACATGTAATTTATAATGCTTATTACAATTAAAATTTTAATTCATAAAATATAAAATTAATAGAATTACATTATATATACGATACTTCTATAACAAAATAACATGCAATATAGAAAAGGTGATACATATAACAAAATAACATGCAATATAGAAAAGTTGATATATATAACAAAATAACATGCAATATAGAAAAATGATACATATAATAAAATAACATACAATATAGAAAAATGATACATATAATAAAATAACATGCAATGTTGAAAGATGATGAGTATTTATAATGAAATTGTGCTTATATATTTTTACATGAATAACACGTTTCAATTATGATTCAGAAATAAATATAGTTCATTTTTTGACTTGTGATTTGCTAGCATTTGCAAGGTATAATTCATCTTCTGACTTTGGTAAACCCATTGTTTTCAAAAACTCTACTGCTTCTTCATATTCTTTTTTCTTCTTATCAGAAGTCCAATTTAATTCCTCACTCATGATTTCAATTATATGCGGTAAAGATTCCAATGTTGCTTGTGGATTTAAGAATGCGAGACGAGTTCGTCTTGCTATCACATCCTATTTAGAAAGTTTAGAAAAAAAAAAGTCAAACTTTGAACTTAATAAACGTTTGCTTAAATATTTTTAACACTTACTACTACTGTACATGCAAATTCCTGTCGTATGGCATATCGAACTTCAGCATCGATATATGGGTAATGCGAATTTATCTTTTGTACGGGAACAGGCCATCTTTTACTACCTGCTTGGTGTGTCAATTTTACAATATCCCATGCTCTATCACCGTAATCATGAGCTAAATGTTGCGCTACCTAAAAAATTTATATAAAGATATTTAGTATCGGTATTTGAGCGTATATAAAATCAAGTCAAATTATAAACATACTTCAGTATCCAATCCAAATTGTTGAATCAATTCAATGAACATAGTTTCGGAATATCCTTGAGATCCTATAAGCTTCTTATTTTCAGTTTGACATTCATTTAGTGGCTTTAAGTCTTTTTACAAGAGTACAGTAATAAATAAATATGTAAAATTATTATTTTTTTAAAAAAAAAAAACGAAAAAATCATTAAATATAACATACTAAAAACTTCAATAGCCTTATCAATAGTTTCTTTAGCCATATTTCGATAAGTAGTCCATTTTCCACCAGTAATAGTAATCAAATCTGAATCATTAACATGGACCATATGACTTCGTACCAAAGCTGAAGTATCTTTTGCTTCAGGATCCATGACAAGTGGGCGAATTCCAGCCCAAGCAGCTAAAACATCATTTCGTCTAACTTTTGTTTCTGATAATTGCAAAAATCAAATACAAAATAAATTAAACTATGGAAAAATAATGTTAAGTCAGAAAGTTTATTATTTAAAAAAACCAACCAGGAGTCAAAAATTTATTAAACTCATTCAAAACCCACATAATTTCTTCTTCTTTAGGCATAGGATTAAATGTAACTTCCGAAGGAGAATCTGTAGTACCAACAAGAGTATTTCCTTCCCAAGGGAGCACAAACAGAACTCTACCATCTGAAGTTGCTTTATCTAACATTCCCATTTTTCCACCTAGACTGTAATAGTTTGGTAGTATGACATGAACACCAGAGGCTGGTTTAATTATATTATTTTTTTTTTTGTCTAGAGAAATAATATTATCTATTGAAATAAAATGATTAATATGGTTTTATTTTTTTAACGTTTGATTAAAAATTTTGTGAATAATATTTACCTGCGAATACACCAGTAGCATTTATTACACCTTTAGATTTAACATCCCATTCTTCACCATTTAAATTATCACGAACTCTAGCTCCAACTATTTTTCCATTTTCATTTTTCAATAAATGGGTTACTTCTACATGATTAGCCACGGTTGCACCATGAGAAATTGCTGTTAAAGCAAGTGCAACATTCATTCGTGCGTCATTATGCTGACCTAAAAATAAAAAAATAAATTAATGTAAAAATAAAATAAAATGAGGATTGAAATACTTTTTAAATAAACATTAGTATAACGAACCATCATAATAAACAATAGCACCGACGAGGTTATCTTTTTTTAACCAGGGGAATTCTTCAAGTACTTTGTCACGACTAACGTAATAAGAATTTCCCATAGCTTCTTTTCCGGCAAGGAAATTGTATACATTTAGGCCAACTCAATAATATGGGACTTCCCACCACCTAAAAACAAGGTAAATAATATAAAATTATATAAAATAATATTAAATAAACAAATAAATATCTATATATATTTATGTACAGATATTATATGTATTTTTTAAAAAGAAAAAAAATAGTAACCAAAGATAGAATAGTGTATTTTACCTATAAAGAGGTAACATTATAGGTAACTGATGACTCAAATATGGAGCAATATGTAAAAACGTAGCTCGCTCATGTAATGCTTCACGAACCAGTTTATATTGTTCATAATCTAATTGATAAACGGCTTTCTCAAGATATCTTACACCACCATGAATAAGTTTTGTGGAGCGAGAAGAAGTCCCTGAAGCGAAGTCGTCACGTTCAACCAACGCGACTTTTAATCCTCTCGTTGCAGCATCTAATGCTGCGCCTGTTCCTGTTGCGCCACCTCCAATTATTAATAAATCAAATTCATTATCTTTACTTTTATCTGAACGTTTAAGAACATTTATCATTTCAGCACGTGATGGTAAAATTCGTAACGGTTGAGTTATGGACGAAATTTTTGCATCAGCATATGCTTGGGACATCATAAATTTTCTGGAGTGATCAGTATAAATGTAGTAGGATAATCCAGCAGTAGCAACCGTTCCTAGGCTTACAAATGTAGCACGACGAAATTTACTGATCGTTCTAAACATTTTTTTTTATTCTTCTTGACAGTAAATTGTAAGTATCAATTATTGGATGAATTTGTAGAAAAAAAACCATAGACAAATATAGATCATTTGCATTTATTTATATTAAATTCATCATTATCTTTATGAAACAGTTGGATTGTCATGCATACTTGATTAAATAATGATTCGATTATTTAAGGAAATTATCTCGAATTTATTATGAACCTAATGGGGGTTATACTTGGAAGATCATCATATGCAATTACATATGTAAATCACGCTATCCTCAATTATAGTTGAGGCATGATGACAATTCTCATTGGCTGATAACGAAACAAGTGAAACAGTAGAAAGGTCATGAATTGTGGATATTATCACGGTTAAATCATATGGAATAAGGATTTTATTAGACTTCCTACTTGGCCAATAGCAAATAATCTACAATTTAAACGTTATCGTTTTCGAAATACGTTGCTCCATATAAGTATCGACACCGACTTCAATGTTGATACTCAGACTTTCAGTATTATAAATATTTTTTTTTAAAAAAAAATAAATAAATAAATAAAAAACAATACTCATCTTCACATTTCTGAAGATTTTGATATGATTGTAATTTAGACTACGTTTTCAAAAGAATTTAGCGAAAAGTTAATATTAATTAGTAGTTGGGGTTATATGAGGATCTGGTCCATATGTCCGCCTGATAGGAAAAGTCTTAGGACCAAGGTAAGATCTGGCCCAAACATTACCATATTTAGGTAGGAGAGTGTCCATGGATTTACTTGTTTTCTACCGTAACAAACATGAAAAACAATAAACATTCTATTTGCCGTAATTTGCTTTAACTTTAGGTTAGAAAGGGCAGAGATTATACTAAAATTTGCAAGGAATTTTTTTTTGATTAGAATATAAAAGCGGTTT